TCCGGGAAAAAACCCCCAAAAATTTTTTTTCCCCCCCCCAAAAATTTCCAAAAAGGGGGAACCCCTTTTTTTTTCCCCCCCAAAAAACCCCCCCCTTTTCCCCCCCCAAAAACCCCCCCTTTTAAAAAAATTTTTTTTTTTCCCTTTTTTTAAAAACCCCCCCCAAAAAAGGGCCCCCAAACCCCCCCCAAAAACCCCCCCCCCCTTTTTTTTAAAACCCCCAAAAAACCCCCCCCCAAAAAAAAAAACCCCAAAAAACCCCCAAAAAACCCCCCCCAAAAACCCCTTTTTAAAATTTTCCCCCAAAACCCCCCCCCCCCCTTTTTCCCCCCCCCCCCGGGGGGGTTTTTTTTCCCTTCCCTTTTTGGCCCCTTTAAAAACCCCCCCCCCCCTTTTTCTTTCCCCCCCTTTTAAAAAAAGGGCCCCCAAAAAAAAATTTCCCCAAAATTTCCCGGTTTTCCCCCCCCCCCCTTTTTCCCCCCAAACCCCCCCCCCCCCCCAAAAACCCCCCCCCCCCGGGGAAAAAAACCCCCCCCCCCAAAAAAGGGCCCCCCCCCAAAACCCCCCCTTTTTTTCCCCCCCGGGGCCCCTTTTTTTTTTTCCCCCCCCCCCCCCCCCCCCCCCTATTAAAAGCCCCAAAAAAAGGGGTTTTAAAACCCCCCCCAAAAACCCCCCCCCTTTTTTCCCCCCCCTTTTTCCCCCCCTTTTTCCCCAAACCCCCCCATTTTTTCCCTTTTTTTCCCCCCCCCCCCCCCAAAGTTTCCCTTTTTTTCCCCTTTTTTGGGTTTTTTAATTTTTTCCCCCGGGCCCCCCCCTTTTTTTTTAAAAAAAATTTCCCCCCCCCCCTTTTTTTTAATAATTTCCCCCCCAAAAAAAACCCCCCCCCTTTTTTTTTTTCTCCCCGGGAAAAAAAAACCCCCCCTTTTTTTTAAAAAAAAAAAATTTTCCCTTTTTCCCCCCCAATTTTTTTTCCCCCCCAAAAAAAACCCCCCCCCTTTTTTTTGGGGGTTTTTTTAAAAACCCCAAAAATTTCCCCCCCTTTTTTTTTTTTTCCCCCCCCCAAAACTTTTTAAAAAACCCCCCCAAAAAACCCCCCCTTTTTTTTTTGGGAAAAAAAAGGGGGACCCCCCCCCCCCCCCCGGGGGGGGGGGTTTTTTTTAAAAAAAAACCCCCCCCCCGGGGTTTTTTAAAAAACCCAAAACCCCCAAACCCCCCCCCCCAAAATAACCCCCCCCCTTTTTTTTTCTTAAAAATTTTTTTCCCCCCCCCCTTAAACCCCCCCTTTTTTTTTCCTTTTTTCCCTTTTTAATTTTAAAAAAAACTTTTTTTTGGGGCCCCCCCCCCTCTTCTTTAAAAAAAGGTTTTTTTCCCCCCCCCCCCGGGGGGGGCCCCCCCCTTTTCCCCCAAAAGGGGGTTTTTTCCCCCCCCCTTTTTTTTTTTTAAAAAAATTTTTTTTTTTCCTTTTTTTTTTTACCCCCCTTTTTAAAAACCCCCCCCCCCTTCCCCCTTTTTTTTGGGGGGGGGCCCCCCTTCCCCCTTTTTTTTCCCCCCCCCCCCTTTTTTCCCCCTTTCCCCCCCTTTTCCCCCCCCCGGTTTTCCCCCCCCCTTGGAAAACCCCCCCAAATGCCCCCCCCCCCCAAAATTTTTTAAACCCCTTTTTTTTCCCCCCCCTTTTTTCCCCCCCCTTTTTTTTCCCCTTTTTTTCCCCCCGGGGCCCCCCAAACCCCAAAAAAAAAATTTTGGGGCCCCCCCCTTTTTTTCCCCCCCTTTCCCAAAAAAATTTTTAAAAAACCCCCCCTTCCCCTTTTCCCCAAAAGGAAATTTTTTCCCGGGAACCCCCCCCCAACCCCCGGCCCCCAAAAAAAACCCCCCCCCCGCCCGGGGGAAAACCCCCCCTTTAAAAAAACCCCAAAATTTTTATTTTTTTTTTTTTAAATTTTTTTTTTTTTTTTTTAAATTTTTTAAAATTTTTTTTTTTTTTTTAAAAAAAAAAAAATTTTTTTTTTTTTTTAAAAATTTTTTTTTTTTTTTTTTTTTAAAAAAAATTTTTTTCCCCCCCCCAAAAAAAAAATTTTAAAATGGGTTTTTTTTCCTTTTAAAAAAAATTTTTTTTTGGTTTCCCCCCCCCCCCAAAAAAAAAACCCCCCCCCTTTTTTTCCTTTTTTTTAAAAAACCCTTTTTTTTTCCCCCTTTTTTTAAAAAAAACCCTTTCCCCCCTTTTAAAAAAACCCCCAAAAAAAAAAAATTTTTTTTTTCCCCCCCTTTTTTTTTTTAAAAAAAACCCCAAAAAAAATTTTCCCCAAAAACCCCGGGGGGGGGGGCCCCCCCCCCCCCCCAAACCCCCCCCTTTTTTTTTTTTTTTTTCCCCCCCCTTTTTTTTTGGGCCCTTTTCCTTTTTTTTTTTCCCCCCTTTTTTTCCCCCCCCCCAAAAAAAAACCCCCCCCAAAAAAGTTTTTTTTAAAAAAATTTTTCCCCCCAAAACCCCAACCCCCTTTTTTTCCCAAATTTTTTTTTTTTTTTCCCCCCCCAAAATTTTTTTTTTTAAAAAAATTTTTTTAAATTTTTAAACCCCTTCCCCCCCCTTTTGGAAAACCCCCCCCGAAAAGGGGGGGTAAAAAACCCCCTTTTTTTTACCCTTTTCAAAAAAATTTTTTCCAAAGGGGGGGTTTTTCCCCCCCAAAAAAAAATTAAAAAAAAAATTTTTTTTCCCTTGGGAAAAAAAAATTTAAAAAAAATTTATGACAACTGACATACTCTAAGCACCCCAGTTCTCATTTCAAAGTTCAGTGGTATGTCCTGACCTTCTTATCTTTGGATATATATCATAGCTTACCATTACACATTCCCTACACTCTATACTGACTTACAATGCCTCCCATCTTTTTGTCTCATTTGCCTTCAGAGTTTCTGTTCAGAGGTTCTAACTGGTGACATATCGTGAATCTTTCTGATCAGTTTTCTATGCAAAATTTTGTATTGCTCATATTGGTCAATCTATCAGTACTGTTAAAAAAAAAAAAAAAAAAAAAGGTTACTTTGTTGCCAAGAAGCATCTCTGGAGTGTTTTCATCCGCTGAGTTTATGTAAATTGAAAAATTCAAATAAAGCTTTGTTTTAAAAAAAAAAAAAAAGCTGTAGTAAACATAAAAAAAAAAAAAATTCCCCCTGCAAGGTAAAGGCATAATGTCACCACTGCAGAGTCTTCCATCTTCATCTGGTCTTCTTTCTGGTTCCTGGACTGTGGCCGCTTGAATGGCAGAGCAGCAATGACATCACTTCCATGCATGTACACGGGAGTCACAGCCATGAAACAGAGCTCTGAAGGAACATTACAGGTATGCCGTTCCTTTAGAGCGCTTGTGGAGATGACGTCACCAACTGATGCTCACAATATCTCCTAAACAGTGCATGTTTAGGAGATATTAATTTACCCTACAGGTAAGCTTTAGTATAAGTTTACCTGTAGGTAAAAATTATTTAAAAAAAAGAGTTTACTACCACTTTAAGGCACAATCTCATATGTCAAGTAAAAAATTATTCTGCAAAAATTCAGGCCTAAGTCATATAACACTGTCTTTAGGAAGTGAAAAAAAGTGACAATACAGTACACTAAAACTTTTAGGAGGATCAATGTTCAATACGAAGTAGGCAAACAAGCCTATTAACATAAGAAAATGTAAATGTATGGTCCCAACAATTTGCAGTTACCAGTTTACGGCTTCATCCTACAATGAAGGAAAATGGATTAGAAGTTTGAGCAACTGCAGAAAGGTGTTTTATGGTTCTGAATCATCGAAAACTAGTGACCAGTTAAGAGCTTGGAAACAGTTAAGAACATCTGGGAGATGGAGGCCAGTCAAGCAACTTGTGAGTTGGATTGGAGAGACTGGTCCTGGCAGTTGATTATGAGGGCTCCATCTTTAGAAGTAGCTAGGGTTTCAGCATCTTGAAGTAGTCATTGGCCTTCTCTGGCATCTGGAGCTGGTGAACTCAGTTGAGATACATGGCTTGTCATTTCAGAATATGAGAGAGGGATATGACAGCATACATGCTGTTTTTTTGGCCCTGGAAAGAGAGGGAAACTATTTTGTGCCACTTGTAGCAAATGCTCTTGGGTTAAAGTAATGTAGCGTCACTACAATATCCTGTGATAGGCTCATGTCTTTCCTGGGGTCAATGCGTCTGCAGAATATCAGAGGATAGTTCATTTTAAAGGGCATTTACTGAGCCCTATAGAGCCTCAATAGTTTCAGGAAGACCCTGATTTGCAGATTGTTCCAGCTATAGCAGTTCTCTAGGTCCTCCAATTGACCTTGAAGCTGTGTTACTTATTTATTTTTGATCTACCTCTATGTCTTTATATAGTACATTTTCTTGCACTGTCCCTTTAAATAAACTTACATTTAAAACCAATATTGTAAGAAAAGAATTGTATACGCATGAACAATTAGACAATTGAACACAGTGCTCAGACATAATACAACTAAATCAAGTGAATAATAAAACTGCAATAGCACCAGTGATTGAGCCTGATGACATCATCACTGAAGCTCCACCCTATGCATTTTGTTACAGCCAAAGTCATCATTAGTTGTGACATTGGTTGTGACAAACACACATAGGGCATATCTTCACAGTGATGTCACAATGCTCCCTCGCCAGCTGAAGTGAAGAGCTGTTTGCTTGATGTGTTTTTTACCTCTTCTTTATTTTAAATAAAAAGCAATTATTTTACTACACTATGGAGTTTCTGGATCTCTCTCCTCTGGTGCACTGTTGCCTGACCTGACTTTACTGGAGCTTATATGAGAAAATTGACATCCATGCTACTGGTGCTCTACACCATTATAAACAAGCGCATTAGGACCTCTTACTGTGAGGTCTAGGCATCTGTGTTCACTTGTCTAGTGTGTCCTTATGTTCTTGTGCTCACAATATTTTTTTGTACAACATTGTTTTTTATGTAAATTTACCATATTTTTTGCTCCACAAGACGCACCTAGATGGAAAACAGGAAAAAAAATATTCTGAACCAATGGACTGCTGACATTGCACCACAGGAGATGACCAGAGACTGTGGACATAGTACAGGAGATGACCAGAGACTGAGGACACAGTACAGGAGATGACCAGAGACTGTGGACACAGTACAGGAGATGACCAGAGACTGCGGACATAGTACAGGAGATGACCAGAGACTGCAGACATACTACAGAAGATGATCAGAGACTGCGGACATAGTACAGGAGATGAGCAGAGACTGCGGACACAGTACAGGAGATGACCAGAGACTGCAGACATAGTACAGGAGATGAGCAGAGACTGCGGACATAGTACAGGAGATGAGCAGAGACTGCGGACATAGTACAGGAGATGACCAGAGACTGCAGACACAGTACAGGAGATGGCCAGAGACTGCAGACACAGTACAGGAGGTGACTAGAGACTGAGGACATAGTACAGGAGGTGACCAGAGACTGGGGACACAGTACAGGAGATGACAAGAGACTGTGGACATACTACAGGAGATGACCAGAGACTGCGGACATAGTACAGATGACCAGAGACTGTGGACATAGTACAGATGACCAGAGATTGCGGGCATAGTACAGGAGATGACCAGAGACTGCGGACACAGTACAGGAGATGACCAGAGACTGCGGACATAGTACAGGAGATGACCAGAGACTGCAGACATACTACAGGAGATGACCGGAGACTGCAGACACAGTACAGGGGATGACCAGAGACTGCGGACATACTGCAGGAGATGACCAGAGCCTGCAGACATAGTAGAGGAGATGACCAGAGATTGCGGGCATAGTATAGGAGATGACCAGAGACTGCGGACACAGTACAGGAGATGACCAGAGACTGCAGACATAGCACAGGAGATGACCAGACACTGCAGACATAATATAGGAGCAGGGGTGGACTGACAACTCATGGGGCCCCCGAGCAATAGGGGATCATGGGGCCCTGTGTCCTTGCCCAAACTCAAAAAAGCCTATAAAAAAGGTACCAGGGGCATCTCATGGGGTGCCCGAGTTTTCGAATGGTCAGTCCGCCCCTGTACAGGAGATGACCAGAGACTGCAGACACAGTACAGGGGATGACCAGAGACTGCGGACATACTACAGGAGATGACCAGAGACTGCAGACATAGTACAGGAGATGACCAGAGACTGCGGACATAGTACAGATGACCAGAGACTGCAGATATAGTACAGGAGATGACCAGAGACTGCGGACATAGTACAGGAGATGACCAGAGACTGCGGACATAGTACAGGAGATGACCAGAGACTACTGACATACTACAGGAGATGACCAGAGACTGCGAACATAGTACAGATGACTAGACACTGCGGACATAGTAAAGATGACCAGAGACTGGGGAGCGGAGGGGGGGAGCGGCTAACCAAATTTGTCAGGTACCCGCTCCCACTTCCGTGGAGCTGTCCTTCCCCCCCCTCCTCGTAATCTTCTGAGACATGTTACAGGTCCTAGAAGATTATAGGGCCATTCACAAAGCGCAGCGCTTCTCCCATATGCGCAGTGGGCATCCGGTTGTGAAGCCGCAAGCTATCACAGCCGGGTGCCCATGCCGGCGCCGGGGAGAGAAGACTGAGGACACCGTTGGACCAAGGAACAGATAGGATCACTGGAGGTCTGCAGAGAAGAGCCGAGCGGTATTCTAACACGGGGGGGAATACCAGGCCGGCCGATCCATATTCGCTCCATAAGACGCGCACACATTTTCCCACATTTTGTGGGGGGGAAAAAAGTGCGTCTTATGGAGTGAAAAAAATACGGTAATTAAAGGGACAACACAATTTACTTTTTAAGTGCACGATATATGTATTCCTATATAAGTGTTCAATTTCACTTATGGTTATTATGCCAAATGTATATATTAGTTTCATATTTATGTAGCATTAACCCTTAGGAGATGCTTGTATCTTGTCCAGGCTTTCTCTTAGATCTTCTTCTGCAGCCAAGCACACAGTATTTCCTATAGCCAGGTGTACACAACTTCTGCTTGTTACTCTAATGATCAGTCTAGGGGTTGTAGTTTTTGTTGTTTTTATTTTGTTTTAGAACTGGGATAGGTAAGGGAAATAGTGGGATACTCCGAATTGAACTATGCACAATTGAGGATAGCTTTCTTTAAGTGGATCTGTGTAGCAGACTGCACAAAGAAGGGAACAAAGTCCCTCTATAGAAACATAGAACTTAGTGGACATTTGCTCTTCTGGACTCCAGCTAGTGTCCCCTCTAGCTTACACCCAACAGCTGGGTAGGTCCCGAAGAGGTTAAAAAGCACAAGTCCCAGCATCCCTATAGAACAGTCGGTACTCACAAGGCCCTTGCTGCAGGTTACCTTCCTTCATGATTCCAGACAGGATCTGTAGACTTCCCCCTCAGTCAGCTCTTAGAACAGTGGTTCTCAACCTTCATAATGCCGCGACCCTTTAATACAGTTCCTCATGTTGTGGTGACCCCCAACCATAAAATTATTTACCCAGTAATTATAATTCATGAAGTGTCGTTTTACCTCCAATACTGCTGCTTTCAATACAGTAGCTGCTTTCTACACAGTAGCTGCTCTTTACACATTAGAAATATGTGTTTTCCGATGGTCTTAGGTGACCCCTGTGAAAGGGTCGTTCGACCCCAAAGGGGTCGCAACCCACAGGTTGAGAACCACTGTCTTAGAAGCATCCTGGGTTTCAGCATTCTGGACCTCGGGTCACTCACCTGAGGCCTCCTGGCAGCATGAGCCAGGAGAGGCAGCTGCCTCCCTGGCTGGAACTCCTTTTTCAGAGAAAGAAGAAGAAGAACCCAGATCTCATGTGCTCACTGAATATAAATACTAGTACCCAACATGCTCAGGGGAACCACTCCCTGTGTTTTCTGGAATTGCATCCATATTCATGCTGCTGATCTGTATTGGCCACTCCTATTCGTCTAGAACCTTCCAAGTCACCTGGATACAGAGGAGCCAATCACAGCAGCAACAGCACTGTGAGCCACACAGGATATCCTCTCTAAATAATTGTAGCTTGTCTGATAAGCAGAATGTTTTGCCTTGTTAAGCAGGAGGCTACACTATACTAAACTAGACTATATACATCCTAGAAACCTACCTAGGAGGGTGCTACACTTATTTTTATTGTGGTTTGATTTTTCACTTATGGTTTGTGACACTTAGCCAGATGATCTGATTTTACATGTATCTCTATAGTCTGTTTGTGACCTTCTAGAACATTAATAGCATCATCCATTTGATGCTCCTGGGAGGCTATGTGCTGGCCTATGTCTCAGATTTCACATCATGGCAATGGACATGATTTTACTGCCAGGAGCAGGATCCAGCATGGTTGGCCTAGAGTGCTGTGTCCTTCATCTTAATTCTGGCTGGGGGCCCATAACATTTGATACCAGCAGGTGCAGATGTTACATGAAGGGTTGAAGCCTTGTAACAGGTCATATTGATCAAATGTAAAAAGGAATTTTTTGCCCAAGGTTTGTGGAGCAGATTCATGAGCATCCAATCTTCACTGCTGTGCACATGCGCCCTTTTAACCATATGCTTCATAGTAGAATTATGTGACTTAGCAGGTGGAGTATAACATATGTGACAAACTATAAAACATCCCTTTGAACTTTGTAAATTGATTTAGGAGTGGTTCTAAAATCCCCAGACTGGCACTGCAGGGAAACTGCATTCTAAGGAAATAGGTCAAAAAAATAAATTTCTCCTGCTTCCAAAATGATAATACACTGCCTCTCCTGTTTCATTTCCTTCATATTTTATTTATTAATCTAATTCAACAGCTGAAACTTTACTCTAATTGTAAAAACTACTTGCTCTGATTTATGTTGCTGAAATATTCTGTTGAACTCTTTTTCTGAGTTATCTCCACATTTGATGGGCTATAATGTGCAGTATGAAACAGGGTCCTATGTTTATTTGGAACCAACATTTATCATTTTAGATGCACTTATCCATGCCAGTGTTAGTAACGATCAAAGCAAATGTCCCATTGAGGTATTTTTTCAAGGTTAATACTTTAATTTATGACTTTATATTTTATGCTATATGATAAAGCAGTAATGTATTTTACTTTAGTTTCAGTGAAAGTTACGTCCAAAAGCAAATAGCGTACAGATTTTCAAATCATTTAAAAAATGATGTGGTGTTGATTTTTCATAACACATTTATGTCTGCTCCTGCCAGCATTGAAGATAGGTCCCAGCACTGTCTAAATTCACAAACTAAAAAAGCAGTTGTAACTTTGCTGGAACAATCAGATATATTAGAAAGGATGCTGTTTACGCATTATTTTTTGCAATCTGTGTGTGGTTTTATGATATCACAAATCACTGTTTCTGGCAGAATGATGATTAGGAATAAATGTAACAAACTGATCTTCTTGCTGCTTAGAACATCATCAATTCTCATTAGAAGTCTAGACCTGAATAGTTATTTGTGAGAAAATAAACACAAGCACTTTGTCAACCACGTTCACTGCTTTTTGCCATGACTTGCATTGGCTTTATGTAATTAGCTATGTAGCCTCCAACCTGAATCTGGAAATAGGAATTTTGGATTTTTTTTTTTAATTAAAAGAGTCGTACAAGCTTTAGTAAATATATCAAACTTATAGATTGGTATCCCTTTGACTGGAATGCTGAGAGTTGGTGGGTTACATGCCATGCTGATGCCATTTCATGTCTGGAGGAGTGCTTTAAAGTGGGAATCAAAAGAAGGCCCCCTCACCTCCCATGAAAACATTATAATTTTCCCTAATAAAGAATGATGAAATAATTAAGCAATCAGAGCATGGCAGCTGGATTGTGGAAACCTAGGATTTTAAAATGGTTCTTAACCAGTTGTAAACACGGAACATACTATACAAACCCCAAAAACCTGCACTGCATGATTTTATGAAAAAAGTACACAGGATGTATGTAGTATACTATGTTCTGCTGCCCTGATGCCAAATTCCCTCACAAAATGACAGTGGAGAGGTGTTGTGTTAAAACAGCTGTTGTAATACTAGCTACTTTTAAAATATAGGCAGTACACACTTTCCACGGTTCACACTATTGCGGGCTGTGCGGCCTGCAGTTGTGCAGGCAGTTGCTTGTATTTCACGCAAGGAAAAGGTGCATGTGCAGTGGAACCGCATGCTCTTTTTGTCCATGCGGTTTCCATGCGGATCTCACACCCGCGATCGCGCTGCAGGATGAGATGAATGGGGGAGCCATTCTCTCAAGTGAAACTCAATGCGGTGGTGGGTGGATGCGGGGGAACGGGTGCGATTCCTGCACCAGGACCCAGCCTACAGTGTGCAGTATATGGTGAACCAGGGCTCAAAGTACCATTGTTACTTTTGTATCTACTTTGTTTAATTCATCTGCAGGTCAATGGAATGAGCTTTGCTGTGCATATGATGTTAAACAACCTGACAATTTGTGATGAGCTGAACACACCTGGGTTCAGTTTGAGCAGGGCCAGGTGAGAAAAGTTCAGGTGCTGTAATCCGAACCACATTGAAGCCAATAGGACAATGGGAGCCTAATGTTAAAAAACAGTTCTGGACATTTTCTAGGCTAAAAGGCAAGAACAGTGTCCTAGAGGACATGTACCAAAGCAAAAATGTTAGTAATGCTTAAAGTGAAACAATAAAAATGTAAAACTACACACAGACATACAGAGCACAGCTTGGGAGTGAGCCTGCATGAGTGCCCCATAACAAGTGGCTTACTATGCGGCACTCATCAGGGAGGAGGAGCCAGGAGATATGGCAGGGGACCACAGAAAAAGAGGATCAGGGCTGCTCTGTACAAAACCATTAAATAGAGCAGGTAGGTTTGACATGATTGTTCATTTTGAAAACATTTAGGTTAGGTTTACAATCACTTTAACCATTATAATTTAGTAAATAACTTTGCAATGCTTTGTACCAGAATCATATTTTAGTGTCATTTTAAATCGAACAAATGATAGAATAAAATGTAAACTTTTTATCTGAAGTAACACTATTTTTTAAAACTAACACTGATCAAATTAGAAAAAAGTGCATTTTTGTTTGTTTTTTTGTCTAGGGATTGCATAAAAAATAAAATCATTTTTGCAAGGCAATATCGACAAAAGATAGCTTTTTTTTTCCTGATATCTCCTGATACTTAATATGTGTATTAGTTTGTTATCTTAAGTAATGACAAAGTTATTGCTAAATCAATGGTCTCATAACAGAAATGTAAAATGTTAATTGTGCCTAAGCAGTATGCACGTTTTGTTTTGAATTCCTCCTCGAGAAAAAAACAGCAGTGAACGTCCTGTGCATAGGCACTTACGGTATGTCTCTACAGTCTCACAACTGTCCATCTTCAGTGTGTCCAAAAGACCTCAGTACCAATGCACCAGGAGTCAGCAGCAACTTATTCATAGAGTGAGGAAAGGTTTATATTAACAGCTGTGTGTCAGCAATGTGTTGGTGGTTGGAGAGGTAGACCCATTGCTGCGTCTTATATTGGACCAGCCGAACAGTACTTAAAGGATCATTTCACTTTCAAAGTTCACTTATCCTTCTTCTTGCCCCCTCCACAGATACATCCTTATCTTACAATCATGCCCACAGCCTCCAGGGTTAGTTTACATCCTCCTTTTGACTTTCTGTGGACCAACCTCGCATGTACAGCAGTTTAATAGAGGACTCTCAAGCTCCTATTGCACTGGGAGACTGCTCCATAGAACCTTATGGGAAGCTACAGTGCAGGCCCAGCTGACACATTTAATCACAACGGGAGACTAAAGCTTACATATAAACATGCACAATAGGGTTAGATTACCTAGCAGTGTGGTTTTTAGCTACAGAGCACATGAGTACCCAAGGCAAGTCCACATGAAACAAAACATACAACATCTGTGCACATCATGCCTGGGCAAGTAATTTAAGGGGGACGTTTATAAAGCAGTGATAGGGCCTTTCCATGGCCATGAATTTAAGGTTGGATTCTGAAGCTAGTGGAGGTATATTCTTTTAATTGGAATGAAAAGAAAGCTGGGAGGAGAGCCTAGTCATGCCAGTCATGTCAGTCTCTCCTTTAATCACCGACTTCTCTCTGTTAAGTTAACCACTTGCCTACCGGGCACTTTTACCCCTTCTGCCCAGGCCAATTTTCAGCTTTCAGAGCTGTCACACTTGAATGACAATTGCACGGTCATGCAACACTGTACCCATATGAATTTTTTAGCATTTTTTAAAAGTTAAAGATAAAGTTTTCTTTTGGTGGTATTTAATCACACTGAGAGTTTTTTATTTTTTGCTAAACAAACCAAAAACTACTGAACATTTGGGGGAAAAAAACGTTCTTTCTTGTTTTTGTTATAAAAGTTTGTAAATAAGTGATTTTTCTCGTTCACTGATGTGCGCTAATGAGGCTGCAGTGATGGGCACTGATAGGCTGCACTGATGGGCACTGATAGGTGGCACTGATGGGCACTGATGAGGAGGCACTAGTAGGTGGCACTGATGGGCATTGACAGGCATCACTGATGGGCACTGAAAGGCAGCACTCATATATGGCACTGATAGGTGGCACTGACTGGCACTGATAGGCGGCACTGACTGGCACTGTGGACGGCACTGATAGGCAGCACTGATGGGCACTGATAGGCGGCACTGATGCGCACTGATAGGCAGCACTGATGGGCACTGATAGGCAGCACTGACGGGCACTGATGAGACAGCACTGACGGGCACTGAGAGGCAGCACTGATTGGCAGCACTGATAGGTGGCACTGACTGGCATTGATAGGTGGCACTGACTGGCACTGATAGGTGACACTGAAAGGCAGCTCAGATAGGCACTGATATGTGGCATTGATGTGCACTGGTAGGCCCTGATATGTGGCACTGATGTGACACTGATGGACACTGGCAGGTGGCATTGATGAGCACTGACAGCTGGCACTGATGGACACTGACAGGTGGCACTGCTGGGGCTACACTGATCATCAGGGCACACTGATGATCAGTGCCCTGATGATCAGTGTAGATGTCCCCTCTGAGCAATGCCGATTACCGGCTCTCCTCTCCTCTCGAGCTGTCAGCGTGACAGCTTGTGAGGAGAGAAATGCAGATAACCGGCATTTCCCTATTTACATGTGATCAGCTGTGATTGGACACAGTTGATCACATGACCGAGCCAACATCTTCGGCTCTTTCTGTTGATCGCTGATCCGAGGGACACAGCACACCACCGATTGCCGCGCTGCGGGCTCTTGGAGCCGCTCATGCGTGGTTAGAGTGGGAGGACATCATACAACGTCCTACCAGAACAAGAGAACCGCCTTGCTCCCGTCATTACCTTATATGGCGGGCGGGAGGCGGTTAAAGAATAAGTTCACCTTTGGGAACATGTTACATGTTCCACCTGCGTTTAGGGTAGAACATGTAACATGTTCCTGATACTGCAGCTGCTGCCCCCCCCATGACAGAAGTACAGAGAGAAGTTCCCCATACTAGCTGTGACTTTTTTCACAGTGTCTGCCCACTGTGAATGAATGGACTTCCACTACCGACAGCCTTAGCAGCTGTCGGCTGGTAGTTATCAATGAAGCCCTGCACGCTCCCAGCACACATGTCCGGTACTCACACAAAGGTCCCGATCTCCTCTTTTGATCAGGACCTTTCCCGATCATGTGACCGCCGTGACTGCGAATCATGGCAGTCACATGGCCTTAAAACCCAGCGCTGCCTCCCGGCTTCTGAAACTCTTAAAGGGCCGAGAGGCGCCGGCGCCAATGGGTGGTTAAACATGTCTGATGGAGCTCATATGTATGTACTAACCTATAAAGAAGCAGAGCTAAACTCTTCCTTACTTACCTTTACTGAAACGGACTGATGTCCTTCACCTGTGCTAGCATCTTCTATCTGGCCTTTTCTGGGTGTCAGGCTACAGCCATCTTCATTGGTCAGATCGTGATGATGTCACTCCTGGCACACAAGTGCTGTGCCAAAAATAAAAAAAAACTGAGCTGTGCTTGTGCAGCTCAGTGTACATTCCAAAGAAGACTGCAAGCAGGCAGGTAGGTTTATTTTATTGCAGAAGTGGCATTGCATTTCTCTTCTGCAATAAAGAGCCTTTCGGCTCTCAGTTTTTGAAAGTGGGACTTTAGACCCATTTTAATAATGCAACATTATATTCCACACATTTAATATTTAATAATAGCATTCACACAAATTAAACTCTAGGTCCCATTTACTCAGGGCTTCCTTAGCAATTAATAGATGTTGCACATGAAAATCACACGACTTTCAAACCATTTCTTCAGTGTAACCCTAGGACATGCCAGTGGCAAAACATTACAGAACCACATTAGAAAGTAGACCTAATGAGGTATAAATTCTGTATTCTGAAACATTCAAGTATTGATGTTAGCACATCTTAACAACCTAATATTAGTCAAATGACAACTTGATGTTGGTATGGCAGGGGTAAATCGTATGGCCATGCTTTGTTGATTCCTGCTTTGGTTTTTATCTCTTTCTTTTCTCTTTTCTGCTGACCTAGTCACATCTGCTAAAGTCATTCAGAATGTGTGACACTGCAACTGGATGTTGCATGAACACTATACTATTGATTCTTGTTACATGTAAAGAATACCTATGTGTATACTAATAAATAGGAGCAGGAGTGTTCATGGCATTGTGATTGGATGTCGTTAAAAAACAATAATGTTCTTAACATAATAAGGAATTCTCTATTTGAGTTACCAATGGCCAATGATTATAAAGTCTACCTCTAGCTCTTATTCATCACCCCCCCTCCCCTTGGAGCAACCGCACACCCTTATCGGACAATAGGTCTGTGGTCCAGTAATATATTCTACGGTCCTATTTATACTGATCCAGTGGTGTGAGGGTACTACATGCTGCAGAGAGGAGTGCCACATATTGATGGCACTACTTTCTGCAGCATTCTCCTGTAAAACCTAGTACACATGATCAGAAAATCATACGAGAAATACCGCAAATTATTCTAAGGGACAAGCACGAAAAATTTTCAACGGTCCTATTTATACTGATCCAGTGGTGTGAGGGTACTACATGCTGCAGAGAGGAGTGCCACGTATTGATGGCACTACTTTCTGCAGCATTCTCCTTTAAAGCGTAGTACACACGATCAGAAAACCATACGAGAAATACCGCAAATTATTCTAAGGGACAAGCACGAAAAATTTTCTCGGATGATTTTCATTTAATCAGTACAGTTTTCATCCAAAAATTAAGTTCAAATACAATAAAATACATTACATCACTTTAAAATTTTTATTCTCGTACTTTTAGTAACCTCTTCACTTTTGATATGAGGCTAGCATGCAAAAAAAAAAACTAACGATGATTCGTGCGATATTCTCCTCATGTGTATGGGGCCTTAGTCTAGATTGGCCTAATAATGTGCCCTCAGTGTGAGAGTCATTAATGTCCTGAGCTTACAGTTGCATTTTTTATTTTCTGAAAGGACACTCAATGTATATTTTTTATTTTAGATGTAGAAACAGGAGTTGGGCTTTAATGTTATAAACACAATTTTGGAGTTTAGTGCTATTTAAAAATCAAATATGAAACATATTTGTTTTAACAGAGATCAATAATAGGAATAATGGAAAGTAAAAAAAAAAATATATATATATGTATATATATATATATATATATATATATATATATGTATCAGAGGAAAAATATAGACGTAATGGACAAACATGTTTCTAGTAAGCAGGACAAAGTTTAAAGCGGTTTTAAATTGTTTTAAAAAGTAGAAATAAAGTTTGTCTTTTCTGTTTCTGTGGAATCTGGTTTACTTTTGTCAAGTCAAGTTTTCCACATATGTGGTATAATTATATCTATAATTGAGGTAAACCTCAATGTATTATATATGGTTTAAAATGTATCTAAACCCATAATCAAAAAAGTAATATACCACTGCTCAGCAATGCCTCAGATTTTATGGCTGCATAAATGACTATTTTACCACCATGTGCAGATAAACACAACTTCCAGCCACTATGTGACCTATTTTAATTCTTTATACTCCTGACGAAGCTCTGTTTTCTGGAGCAAAACATGTAGAGTTTCCTTTTTTTTTCCTTTGGGTCTTTCTTTGGGAGCACTTTTTGAATGTACATGGTATTCACTCCTCTCTCCTCCTTTTTTTGGAGAGGTCTGTACTGCGTTTTACAGTGCATCATTTGCATTCCTCGAGAGAGTGAGGTATTTTTGGTGGATATTGTGACGCATTAGGCTCATCCATGGAGGGTGACATTTAAGCCCGTGGATGAGTGTACCTGTATTACATATCTGTAGCAAGATAGATTATACCATCCAGTTAGTTTTATCCATGGGGTAACTCCATTTCCTTAACAGAGATTATATATTCAGGCTGGTAGGTTTATGATCAAACTACAGTGCCTCTTTGTATGCCATCACTTCATCCAAAACGGTATGGTATTGGATTAGGTCTGGTGACGGTATGGTATTGGATTTGGTCTGGTGTTATTAACCATGTAAGGTAAATAATTGCAATGTTATCCAGTTATATTGTTGTGCGCAGTACATTCCACTCCAATAGCCATTAATTACAGCTGAGCATACATTTTTTATATATTTGGATAAAGGTTATATTTTAGATTGACCAGATGGTGCATAGGGAAACGCACCCTCGTCCAGTATAGATTTGTTATTTGCCAAAAATGATTATTTACAATTAGGGCTTAGTTCAAAATAATATTTTTAAAATATATTTCAAATATATATTTCTTCTCATGTGGGTTAGTCTACAGACAGAGCTGTGGATCAATGCTAACTGATAACAGCAGAGGCAGAGAGCTCACAATGTTTTTGGCAGTATTAGCAAGAATTGTTTTTGTGAACAGATATAACAAAACTCTTGTAATGGCATACAGTACTTAACAAACCTAAAGACAGCATATAAAAACGAAGTTAATTGTGAGTTTATACCTTAATGTGGAACTTCACTCTCTTCACTCTCTGTGTCAACATTGACTATTTTTAATATTTATGGTGCTGACATTAGTAAATAGATAGGAATGTATATCATATTTACTTGTTTTAAACCTTTTATTCACATTTATTCAGCTACTTCCTACTTTCCATGCCTATGCAAATGTTGTCATACATCCCAGGAGTCTTCAGGAGGGGAGGGGAGCTAAGCACACTCTCCTGCCAACACACCTGAGCTAAGGGCAGAAGGATTCCAGGAAGTAACTGTTACATGAATCATCTGCCCTTACTCAAGATGGCCACGGCCAGAAATGCTAGGGATTTCCTAGCAAAATAAAGCATGGAGACATGGAAGGATGGGGGTGCTTTGAATATTAAAAATTAATTAAATAGTATTTTTGGTTTTATAGTGTTCAGATGCAGTGTAGGTCTGCTTTAAGTTTCAAACTGTCAAACACAGATTTGGCACATCTAGTTTCTATGCCTCTTGCACACTACACATCCAGACAGGTAACTAATTGATTTCCAGGTTCAGCAATTCAGATGTATAGCTTAGCTTTGAAGTCTACTATGTCATCCTCCCAACTCCAGCTTTCTCAATGGACAGAGAGTCAGCATCTGCATCTGAACAATGGGCAGGAAGATCATTCAGGGACCAGTAAATTTGAACCAAAAAATTGTAATAGCAACCAGAAAATACAGCACTCAACCTGTCTAGACAAGGATTTATATTACAAGACTGGCAGGATAAAATAACAAAACGTTATGTAAACTGTATATGGCTGTTTTCTTAAAACTGCACTTAAAGTCACGATACTTCTTTATCGTCAATAAAAATAGCAACTGGCATAAATTATAACATACATACATACATGTATCATAGATAAAACCATCATACCATGTGTGACTCATGGTAGTTGTGTGAGTCATGTGATTAAGGTTGGGTTATTGCAGGTCAGCTGGATGACTCAACAGGTTGCGTCTCTATCGCCTCCTACTGACTCTGGAGGACCATGAAACCTTCCAGAAGTCGGTAAGCAGGAGGGGGGTGGAGGCCTAATCTGCATATTCATGGAGGAGCCGGCTAATCCTGGGTTTGTAAGCCCTGGAAGAGTGGTGGACTGGCCTATAAATATGGGAGAGTCAGGCTGACAGGTGAGTTGAATGGAAGATACATGCA